AGATAGAGCTTAACCTGTTTGGGCAAAGAAAGAAACCAAAACTAAAAAAATATAACACCATTTGCACCTGGGAGATATTGGGCCTTAAGCAAACCTCTGTCACCTTCCAACACATTTCTTTAGGGGGCACCGTTTTCTGTCCTTTACTCCTTCTTTCCCTTCCTCCAGTGGTCATGTCAGTGAAAGGACAGGGCCTCCGTGGGCTGGAGGGAGGGAGGTAGTGGAAGTTTTTCTGAAGAAAGAGTTCTGGCTTCAGGACTGGACAGTCCAAATCTTTGCTCGCTGCGACCTAGATGTGTGATCTTGGGCAAGTCACTTGATTACAACCAAGTCTTGGCAAACCAGGGACTTCCTAATGTGACTCAGGAAGAACCTCACTTGTGAAGAGTAACCACCTTCTGCTAAGGAAAACTCTGGCCTCTGAAAGCTAGGTCTCTTCTCCACCTCTCCTTTTTTATTCAGCAGAATCAGAATTAAACACAAAAGTCAGAGAATATATAAAAGGCACAGAATATACAGTGAAAATTGAGAACAAAGAGTGACTAATGGGGGGAGGGGCTTCTTAGAAACACGTGTAATAAAACATGTGGTATTTTCATTTTGGTTTTGAATTGCTGGCCTTTGTGTTCTTGTAAGAGAGCCAGTAAATAGCACCCATGTCCGCCCCCTACAGTGTTCTGAATCCATTAAAAGAGAGAAGGTGTAAAAGATCAAAATTTTCCCTTGGTACTTTCAGAGGCTGGGCCACCGGATGTGGCTCAGGTGGACCTCCTCCTGTGGAACCACACAGTTGGGTCACCTTACCCCCTCAATTATAGTGCTAAAAAACCACAGTCCTTCCCCACAGACAAGGAACAGACTAGTACATGCTTCCTGTGGTCTCTCAAGATGAAGGAAAGAGGAAGAAGCTGAGCCACACGTACCCAGCTCTCTTTACAAACTTGCCTAGCATGTCACTTGTCCCATCCCAGGGCATAAACCATTGTAGGGAGGACATACTAAAGGGTTCATACCTTCAGTCTCTCTCTCTCTATAGGATCGGAAATACCAGGTGTGGGGAATGTACTTCTGTGAGCATCCATCATCTCAATTCACTTTTGTTCAGCAGAATGAATTGGATTTTACAATAACGAAATTTATTATAAGCAGCAGAACTCTGCATCGATATCCTTAGTGTTTAAACAGATTTCGGCATCCTAATGAAGACATCCTGGTTTTATTCTGGAATGGTCTGAAATGAGATCTATCTGGGTTTCCCTTGCCTTTCTTAAACCTTTTAATGCATTCAATTTCCAGAGATGACTGGATTGGTTCCAGGAGAAGGAGGGGAGATGACTGTACGCATCTGTAATGATCTCTGACAGTGTGACACGGAGCACTGATTTTTACAGCAGTAGTCAAAATTACAGTAATTAGAGAAAATATCCACATCTTTATAAACAGAGTGTTAACGGATTCAAAAGGAACTTAATGAGAACTTACAAGAGGAAGCACACTTTTCCACTGAGTATTAAACATTAATTAAAGTCAGAAGACACTAGTCAAATTGGCTCTCTCCACGTCTGTCATTTGGCAAGGTGCAGAAAGCCTCTGGAGAGACTCTGGAATCTGCTGACTTTGCTGGCTATGGCCCTTCCAATGGGTTCTCTAAATTTATGGGTCCGTTTCAATGTTGAATTTTACTTCCTGCTAAAGACCTTGTTAAGATCTTATTTCAGAAATTCTGAGATGAATGCACAGCATTTTTGAATTAGACATTATAAGAAGGCATTTTAAAATGTCCTTTTCATGATAAAGACAAGTAAAAGAAGCCCATATAAGGTATAGAATGATCCCAACTATGACAGAAAATACTGGAAGAAAATACATTAAATTATTAGAAATGGATTCCTCTAAAGGATTGAACATCAGGAGACATTTTCTTTTATGCTTTACCCACTTCTGTTTTATAAATGGAAAAAAAAATAAAGCCAGTTTTAATATCTCAAACGTTGCACATTCTCATGGAAGAGCTAATCAGTGTCCCCAAATCATCTGCATGGTACTTAGGAGAACAGATTTTTGTTTCTGTTTCAAAGACCTTGGGAAACTGACAAATTTGATTAAATGGAAAATAATGAACACAGCTAACATTTGAACCATGTACTGCACTTTTCTTTTTGCCGAATGACTGCACATAATTTTTACTTTCAATATGAAATTATGCTTAGAAATAAACGTGTCACTATGGCTTTGATCCAATAACAAACCTCTGACCCAATCACAAATAAGAAACTTGTAGAATCAGAACTAGGGATTTCTTTATTCTGAGTTTAGAACTCACTGATTCTGACAGAGCAGGTCAGAGGAATGTCTGGCCTGTTCAGACAAATCTCCTTGGGGGGCTATGGTTGAGAACACTTTATATTGATTCCCAGGTAAATAAGAGAGTAACTTAGGATAGTCACTTCATTTGATTATTCCAGGTCACTTATTTTGTATTTCTCCCTTGTGAGTTTCCATGAACTCCCTATTATTCTTCTCCAATCAACTCACTCTTTCCAAAATTTAACTACTACCCTGACCAACTACTTTCTATTTCTACACTGAACTTTCTATTTTACTCTTTTAGAATGTGATTGCCAATTTTCTGTCCAGCATTCATGGTTAGCTTGATTGGTTCTTCTTTTAAAATAATCTCATCTCCCATATAATCCCACTGGAATTCACTGTTGACTTCAACCTCTGTCCAGCTTTTCTTTTGTGTTTAAATTTATTAAGACTTTATTCTTTCTACTTCTTTCTTTTCTCCATGCTTAATTCCATTCATTTATAGCACTTTCTTGACTATATAGTGGTTTTTTTTTTAACACTATACTTTGAAGCATCCTATATTCTCACCTGCCCTCTGAGGCAGGTATCACAACCACCAACAGATTAAGGAGTTGAAGAAACTAAGATCCAAATAAGGAAACTGAACCTAACTCCTTGATTTCACAATCCAGCGTCTGTACCACTGAACTCCTACTGTATACCAGCTCAGGTGGCCTCTTTACCTGAGCTCTGGTCAGGTGGGCTCATGTTAGAACTCCAAGGGGAGCCTACCGTGAGCTTACAGGTGAGACCATTTGCAATGTTATTTTTCTCACTCCTAGATTGTCTTTGCCTGTTTTCCCCAATAGGCTAGGAATTCCTTCATGGGGCAGTGGGTGGAGGAGTCCTCACAGCACATAGCCAAGTGCCTCAAACATACTAGATACTCATTTTGAGTTTGTCAAATTGACCTGAGTTGAAATAAAAGCAGCCATGAAATGGAAAAGCTAGAGGCCTTCCAAATAACTGTGGACTCCTGTTTTTATCAGGTCAAAGGAAGAGTGCACAGGTTTGAAAGTGGTAATTGCTGTTGAACCTCAAAAAGAAATTATGTAGAGCTTCTGATGGAAAATTAGCTCTGAACTCTTTCTAGGGAAAATGTTACAGGAAAGTCTCAGCTCAGACCAGAGCACATATGGATTTATGGATGGCTCCTATGTGTCTGCATTTGAATTGGTTTCCAGGGGTACGCTGCAGAATTAGGCAGACTCTAAATTAACCCCAAGTCTAGCTGGGAGACAGCCTTACCACAAATAATAACAATGCAGAGGCTCATGTACAATTTCAGATGCACTTACAAGATACAGCTGTATCCCAGAGGAGGGTGTCTGGTCGGGAAAGACTTCACAGAATAGATAAAACTCCATCTCATCATAAACCAACATCATCAGGGGCAAGTCATTTGTTTTGGAGTTGGGCCTTTTTACACACTTAAAAAAAAAAGTGTTGGTAGCATTCCAGTTCTTAAGGCAGATGTAATACCCACACTTACTTAATGATAATTTTTAAAATGCAAATGGAGCAGGTAGAAATCTTGCCTTGGAACAAGGGTGTTTAAAAAAATCCCATTTATTTTTTTAAGTTAATTTAGATCTATTGTTGTGCTACTATCATGTTGCACCACAGAAATATATTCTCAATGGTGATTTCTGGGGCTCCCTCACAGGATCTCAGTGCATTGAAGAAACCCTCAGGATGCTGTTCCACTCCAGTGAGCTCTGCAGCTCTCAGGGTGCAGCTCACATTCCATGCCCCGGTGGCTCTGTCACTTCTGTGCCATATAGGCACAGGCATCTTTGCTGGGTTCAAGAGGCCCAGAGTCCAAGGTTCAGCCTCCTTTGGTGGTGCCCCATGTGGTCATCACCTTTGAGCTCCTTCCCCCTCTCAGGAGATCTGCTACCCAGGTGTGGGGGGGGTATGTGTTCTTTTTCTGTGAATCGCCCCCCTTTTTTTTTTTTTTTTTCTTTTTTGGGCTTTAATTAAAGACAAGTACCATGCTGTGAAGGTTTGTGCCTCCCTGTCTCCAAAATTCATATGTTGAAATCTTAGCTACCGAGAGAGATGGTATTAGGAGGTGATTTGGTTGTGGGGATGGAGCCCTCATGAAGGGGATGAGTGTTCTTGTAGCAGAGGCTCCAGAGAGACCCCTCCACCCCACAGTGAGAAGATGGTCATCCTTGAACCAAGCAACAAGCCTCACCAGACACGGGCTCATTGGTCTTGGACTCCAGCCTCCAGAACTGTGAGGAATAAATTTCTGTTGTGTATAAACCACCCAGTCTGTGATAATTTGTTGTAGCAGCCCAAACGGACTAAGACAAAAGAGAAGCCAGTGACTTTGAGTAGTTTCAGCTGTTTTCCCTGGAATATATCCCTGTGATTGAAAAAGCACAGTGAGGCCCTGGCTACTTGCTGAGTGTGGAAGTGGAGTGGGGGAGGGGATAAACACACACACAATACACATGTGGGCACAAAATGATGTTTCAAAACATTGCTCTGCCACAGGAGCAAAAGGATTCCCAGGAAGTTCTCCCGTTTCT